GGGGAATCTTATCTGGTTTTGTAAGCCCTTGAGTGGGAGGAGGAACCTGGGCAACCAAGCTAAAGAGGATCTCGTCTGTTCATCCTCCCAGAGAAATGCCTCATCCTGCTGAAGGGCAACATATGTCTAAGCTCTGGTAGCAGCTGGGAAGATTGGAAGGGAGTGTGGGCAGGCACAGGTGTTTAGGGACATAGCCCCTTGTGGTGCAGTAATGGCCCTTTAGATTTTTTTTTTTTTTAACATTTTGGCAACTTGTTCTGTGGTGGAGGGTGGCCTGTCGTGTGCACTGAAGAGGCATGAGGCGAGTGACTCTTCCAGGATTCTCCTACCCAGAAGAGTATGCTCTAAAGCAAGTGATAACACAACTGCTCTTTTCTTCCCTCTCTTCCCTTGGCTGAGCTCCAGACAGGAGTATCATATTTGTTTGCCCTCTCCATCTCTACAAGTTCACCCTTCTTGACCTAACCAAGCTGCTCATCCAACCATTGTTTCTTGGTTGGCCAATGCAGGGGCTGGGGGCAGTTTTGGGTATGAAATGAGACAGAAACACAAGTTTCCAGTTCCGGCAACCAAGATCATCAGTCCCCACCCAATTAGCCCTGTCTTCTCACCCTTTATCTCTAGTTGGGAGCACCTGCCACTAGCTCTTGGCATATAGCCAGCACCCAGGTGGTACTGTCCTGTCTGATAAGATGGGGATCAGCTGCATGTCCCTTCTCTTCAGTTGCCAAAGAGCATATTCGTTAATGACTACCAATTGAATGGGGGAAGTCCTTGGAAGAGTTTGCATCCGCATATGAGAGCATCATTTAGCTGGTGGTAGCCATGTCAGAAAAATTCTACCAACCCAACTGTTGAAACAAGTGATTTGGAAATTATTAGTGATTGCTGAATGATTTATGCTACTTTCATCACTTGATAAAGTTTTATTGTGTAGTTGGTTTATTTAAAGAATACAAGGGTTGGGTCCCCTGGGTGGCTCAACTGGTTACACATCTGACTTCGGCTCAGGTCACGATCTTATGGTTGGGGAGTTTGAGCCCCATGTCAGGCTCTGCTGACATTCCGGGGCCTGGAGCCTGCTTCAGATCTTGTGTCTCCCTCTTTCACTGACCCTCCCCTGCTTGCGCTCTGTCTCTTTCTCAAAAATAAGTAAACATTAAAAAAAAATAAAGGGTTTATTTTCTTGATTTACACATTGACATCTATTGTTGATTCATATATGAATTCTATATTAACATTTAAATATTTTGAATATTGCATGGTATCTTCTGAGACTTGGTTTTTCACTCGGCTCTAAGATTTAATCATGTTTATGCATAGTTCATTTTAGTGTGTATAGTTCATTTTAGTGTGTATAGTATTCTATTATATAAATACACAATTTACCCATCCTCTTGATGGACAATTGGGCTATGTCCTGAATTTTGCTTGCATAAACAATGCTGCTATGCACATTCTTATGCATGTTTACGGATACAGGAGTTCTGTATTGCTAGTTTGTGGGTTATATTTATCTTCAGTTTTTAAAAAAAATGCCACATTTTTCCTTCACAGTGATTATAACAGTTCTACATACCTACAACTTGTATATCAAGGTTACTTAGGCTCCATATCCTGGCCAATTTTTGTCATTTCGACAGATGAAAATGGTATGTATCTTTAATTTGCCTTTCCCTGTTTATTGATGAAGTTAAACATACTTTGCATTTTCTGTGAAAAGCCTGTTTATATCTTTTGCCCATTTTTTTCTGGTTATCTTTCCATATCTATTCATGGGAATTCTTTATTAAGGATGCTAATTAGTTATTTTGCTGTGTAGCATAATAAAACTGGCCCAGTTTCTCAGGAGGCTGCAGTCAAGGTGTCAGTCACATGATTGTTGGCCAGCCTCAGGACCTTGCCGTGTGGATTTCTTCATAGGGATGCTCAGAACATGGCATCTTGCTTGCCTCAGGGATCCAAGAGAAAAAGAAGCTGTAGTTTTTGTAACCTAATCTCAGACATGATACAGCATTACTTCTGCCCCATGTACTTGGTAATGCAGAGCAAACCTGCTACAGTGTAGGAGGGGACAACAGAAAGGTGTGAACACCAGGCTGCAGGGACGGTCAGTGACCATTGTTGGAGGCTGCCTATCATACTAATCTTTGGTTAGTTTCATGTCTTTTTAGTAACATCTCTTTGTTCTTTCAATTTATGACCTCTTTTGATGAGTAGAAGTCTGTTTTAATGTAGATTGACCAATCTTTTATATTTAATGTTGTTTTCTGTCTAGTTTAAGAAATTCTTCCTTGATTCAAAGTAAAAAGGATATTCTAGATTTCCTTCTAAATGTGTTATAGTTTTGCCTTTCGCATGTATGTTATTTTGGTGTATGATAGGAGGCAAGGGGCTGTTTTCTTCCCTTTCATTTGCTTAACCAGTTGTCCAAGAATTATTTAAAAAGTCATCCTTTCCCCCACTGATTGCCAAAGTTACTTCTGTCATTTATCAAATTTCCAATGACAATTTAATTACTGTAGCTTAATAATCAGCTTTTAGGTCTAGTAGAACAGATTCCCCCCTCCCTCCATCTTAACTTCCTAGGATGGTGTTGACTACTTCTAGCCATGTAAATTTTAGGAAAACCTTATCAAGCTTGAAAAATCCTGTTGGATTTTGAATGGGATTGCATTGAGCTTATAGGTCATTTTAAGAACTAGTATCTCTGATACCAAATTTTGAAATCTAGGAACATGATGCTCCCGTTCATTTACTTTTCTTCAGATGTTTAAAGTTAAAAATTTTTTTCACCAAATTCTTGTACATCTTTTGTTAAAACCATTCCTAGGTATCACATTTTTTTTGCAAATGTTTTAATACCTTGTTATAAAGTATATGTTCAGAGAAATGCATAAAACTTAAATGTAAGCTTAAGTTACTAGAAAGTCAACACTTGGGTCTGGAAATACAACATTACCAGCACTCCATACTCCCACTGTGTCCTCCTGATCACACCCTGTTCTCTTATAATTATCCTGACCTTTTCTAACGCACTTTACTTTTTTATGTATTTTTATGCTTTATGTTTCTTAGAGTATAAGGTGGTTTTGTGTTAAATCTAGAATGCTCTTTTAACTGGCAGGTTCAGTGTATTTATGTTTGTAATGATTATTGATAAATTTGGACTTATTTCTGCCATTTTTGTGCCTGCTATTCATCTCACTTTACTGTCTCTTTACATATATATTTTTTCGTTTTCTCCATTTTTTCCTCTACTGTTTGAAACTTTGACCCTAATTTTTCTTAATAATATTTACCCTTGACATTTTATATACTTAAAGTTAATCAGTATGTTTTAGCTGAACAAAGGGGGTCCCTTTGTTCTTCTACTGATGAGAAGAATAACACTTGATCAGAACTCTAGTAACGAATCTCCCCATTCCTGGCTTATGTTGTTTTAATTAACTTTTCAACCTCACATGGTAGACACTGTTGTTTTAATATACCTAAAAGCCTACCAGTTTCTCTGCTTGACAATCCTTAAGTCTCCACCCTTTTTTCTAGATGAATTGCTTCCTCCCCACCCCACTTTCTTTCCTTCTGGAGCTGTTAGCACAGAGCCAGACTCGGGTCCCGAACTCAATGAACCACGTTGAGTTTGATCTGAGCCAAAGTTGGATGCTTAATTGAACCACTTAGGTGCCCCTCTAGTTGCTCTTTTAAACTATGGCTTTTTTCACCCCAGGGCATTTGGGGCTGCTGTGGGCTAGGGGCCTGGGGCTCACCAAGGTGGCAGGCCGGCTATGGTGCCAGGACCATGTTCCTATCTGCACTGTTAAGGTGAAAGGGAAACAAACCATGGTGCTCATTAGTCTCTCTGACCCAGAGAGTTCCAGCAGCTCCCCAACTATTTGGCAGGGTGCTAGGGCTAGTTCCTTTATGTTCTAGTAGCCCTTTTAAACCATGGCACTTTTTTTTGTCCTGTGCCCCAGAGCAAACGAATCTGCTCACGGTTTTTCAGTACCATCCTTCTTCACTGCAGTTTGCAGCTTTGGGGGTGTGTGTGTAGGGGGGGTCCCTTTGTTACTGTGTCACCATTCCTCTTGCTGTTCTCTGTGTGGTTTCTACCTCTTGTTGAGCAGAAGCTGTTCAGTCAGCCCTCAGTTCTTTAGGAGGAATTGCTCTATAAATAGGTGTAAGTTTGGTATATCTGTGGAAGAGGGGAGTTCAGGGTCTTCCTATGTTGCCATCTGGGACTGGAAGCTCACCAGTCCCATTAGTTCCAAATGCATTGATGTCATGAAATATACTAACATCTGGGTACCTACTTTATATCAGGTGCTGTGTTGCACACAGGATATGATGAGGTTAACCTGACCAAAGTCAACTGCTAGCAAACACCACAGGTCTACCCTATATAACTATTGACTCTGTCTCCCAGGCCGAACCTTAAATTCTCCATCCCACGCTCATTAATTTTGGTTTATTAGGATATAGTCTCTAGGGAAGAAGGTAGGAGATAAGATTATTCTATGCTGATGAGTTGTTTAATATTAAAGAGACTAGATACAATTGTTTCACAAAAAGATATATTTTCATTTGACTATTTACATTTCTCATATTTAAAGAATATCATACAACTGATACCTTCTGAAATATTTCATGCTTTTAAACTCTGTTCTATTTACACTTATCTGACAAGAAATTTAAAATGGTCAAACGCCTCAGTAATAGAAAGCAACCAGCCAACATAGCCAGATCTTCTCTTAAATTTGCTGATCAACATTAGCAATAGTTACCTTCATAATAAATTATCTTCATTTTAAAATCAGTAGTAATTTTAAACAATTCATAAATAAGTGTGCTCTGTGCAATTTACATGTTTAATATCCTGTGGATACTAAAAGCTTGTATACTGTCAGATTTGCACATTGTTACTTTATCAAACAATAAGCCTTCCCAAAGAAGAAACTGGAGAAGCTTGAAATAATATCCTAAGGTATTCTCGAGAGTTATCAAAGCTCTGCCTGCTTTACTGGAGGAGGTTCCAATTTACGTGAGAGGGCAGTTAAAATCTGGTTGAATTTCTCATATCTTTCTGTCTGATTGACTTGTGCACCTTTGCTGCCCCATAGCAATCGCATTTGAAATTCAGTCTTGAAGATTTCACTCATTTCTTCATCTGGTTGAAAACCTAATATAAAAAGAGAACAGTTAATTCAGTTTTCGAATACAGACTGAAAGACTACTTGCATAAGGTAGGTAGGATCAAAATGAACTTCATCTTATATCAGAACTTTAAGAAGAGCCCCAAGGAAAAATCCAGACTCTGTTTTCCATAAGGGAAGGGCAGAGCCCCATGGTCAAGGACCTGAGCACTTTCAGAGAAGGGATACCAAGGAGACTGACTAAAACAGGACAGAATAAAATTGGTGTGCACAAGCCACTGTGGGAAAGTGTTTAAAGTACCTTGTTTTGTTCTGTTTTTACAGCTTTCTTGATGTACAGTTTATGTGTCATGATTCTGCAGTTTGATTTAGAATACCCTGTACAAGTTGTAGAACCATCACCACCACTTTTAGAATATTTCCATCACCCTCAGAAGTTACCTAGTGCCTCTTTGCTTTCTGTTGCTATTGTTTCACCTACAGATTTGATAGAAATGGAAACCTATGATGTGGCCTTTAGGTCTGGTTTATTTTGCACCATGTTTTTGAGAGTATTCCATGTTGTTGCCTGTTATCAATTCATTCCTTTTCACTGCTGAGTAGTATTCAGTTATACAGACATTCCACGTTTTGTTTATCCATTTACCAACTGATAGATTCAGACTGTTTCCAGTTTCTGGCTGTTATGAATACTGTTGTAAACATTTGTATATAAGTCTTTGCGCGGACATGTGTTTTCTCTAGTAGAGGAATTACTGGCGCATATGGTAAATCTATGTTTATTTTAGAGAAACTGTCAAACTCTTTTCCAAAATGGTTGTACCATTTTATATTCTCACCAGCTCCAGCTTCTCCACAAGCTGCCAAATCTTAGTATTATCATTCTTTTTAAATTGTAACCATTCTAGACAGTGTGTATTATCTCACTGTGGTTTAAATTTATATTTCCCTAATGACTAATGCTTTGAACATCTTTCTATGTAGTTATTTGTCATTTGAAGATCTGCTCAGGTGTAGCGTCTATTCAAATCTTGTCTTCTTAATGAATTCTAAGAGTACTTTATACAGTCTAGATATAAATCCTTAATTGGATAAATGTTTAGCAAATATCTTCTTATAGTCTGTGGCTTGCCTTTTTACTTTCTTAATGGTATCTTCTGAAGAGCAAAATTTAGAATTTTGATTCATCAGCATTTTTTGGTGTGGTTCAGGCTTTTTGGGTCCTAAAATAGCTTTGCTCATCCAAGGCCACAGTGAATTTTCCCTATGTCATCTTATAGAAGCTTTATACTTTAGCTCTTACATTTGGGTCTGTGATCCATTTTGGATTAATTAATGTATATGGTATGCAGTAAAGATGATTCATTTTTTCTTTTGCATATCATATCCAATAGTTCCAGCACCATTTGTTGAAAGACTAAATCCAATGAATTTCGTTGGCACCTTTCTCAAAAATATATTGACAGCCATATGTGTGGATCTGTTTCTTGACTCTCTCCCTCTGTTTCATAAGAGAAGATCTGCTCTACTTAAAGCCAAGAATATTCAGTCAACTCTATTAGTGAAGTAGAGACCAACAGCCAAAGAGTCAGACAGGCTGTGGTTCTCATCTTTGATTACTTCTGGCTTAATCTGCTCTGTCCTTAAATATATCTCTACCATCTAGATTTATAGGATCTTTGTGGTTAAGAATAGAAGCCTTCTTTGTCCATCCTTCCATGTGAAGCCAGAATATCTTTGACAGATAACATCCTGGAGGCCAGATGACGACTTCCATTCATTCAGTTAACATGCTTTGAGTCCCTGCCTTGGGCTGGGTATTTGTTAGTTGAGCAAATCTCTGCTCCTACTGGGTTCATAGTTACTTCCAGCAATGGGAACTTGCTATATAAACCTGTAGCAGGATTAACTGAGAAATACCATTAGATACCTTTAAAGTGATTTGCTATAGAGCAGCTTAAAGTGCTTTTCTCAAAACCCATTCTAATATATTGGCTTAGGCAACATCTAGGGTAGTATAGTTATTAGCCTTGTATAAATAGGCACTCTAATATCTGGTGAATTGAATTATGTGCTTTTATTTTTTGAATCCTACACTGCCAACTGTGGAGAACTTTCTGAGGAAAAACTTGAAACAGGTATGTAGTTCTTAAACCTACAGCAGTATAAATTGTTTAGACCCAAATTCTGGTTCTGAAGCAACAACTTTGCTTTATGGTGAAATAAATAGGCCTCTCCTGCCCTATATAATTTTTTCTTAACTTTGTGGATATAACTTTGGGCCCTTGAAGAATTTCAGAAATACAGTGAAGAAGAGAAAATAGTCATTCCTGATAACCACCTTGAGTAAAGCCTTCTTTCTCGTACCTGCTTCCTAAATGGTCTTTTTGCCTACAAGCCCTCAGCCCTCCAGCCTCCCACACACAGATGCAAAATTTAAAATAAATCTGACCATGTCATGACACTTTCCCATGTTTAAAGCCCTTAACAGACTCTTTCTCAACTGCAGTCCTACAGCGAAGTCCTTCCCACCTCCATCCACCTCCTTCAGTCTAGGTGGTCATTACTTAAGGCACACTTTACATGAATCCAGACCTAAGTACTGGTGGTTTATATTTCTCTCCACGCTGTCTCTGCAGTGCCTTTACCTGTGTTGGACCCTCTGATGCTAAAAGCAGGGGAGCTCACCTCCCAGTGTGACTGGGAAGAAACAGGAATGCAGATAAATGAAGTCACACAGAAGTCTAACTCCCCATATTGGCCCATCACATCTTCAAATAGCTCTGATCAGGAGTTCTAATGGTAGGTAGGCTGACCAATTCCTTGTTGACCCTTTCTCTCAGCTTATTCTATGCCACTGACACAACTGAACACATAAAAAAGGATAAACAGGACTCTCAGGTCACTTAGAGAGTAAGAGAAAGTAAGGATTCATCGTAAGAAATGGAATTTCAGGGGCACCTGGGTGGCGCAGTTGGTTCAGCGTCCGACTTCAGCCAGGTCACGATCTCGCGGTCCGTGAGTTCGAGCCCCGCGTCAGGCTCTGGGCTGATGGCTCAGAGCCTGGAGCCTGTTTCCGATTCTGTGTCTCCCTCTCTCTCTGCCCCTCCCCCGTTCATGCTCTGTCTCTCTATGTCCCAAAAATAAATAAACGTTGAAAAAAAAAATTTAAAAAAATAAAAAAAAAAAAAGAAATGGAATTTCATGCCTTAATCTTTCCTATTTGGTCTTTTCCTGAGACCATCCATGCTTTTTCAAAGTTCCTTCATTCTAATCACTCTGCAGAGTAGAGAGTGGCCTATAGAACATAGCTCTGACCTTCCAAGATCCTCTCGGCATTCATCCGGTAGCTGTCTGCAGCCTCTGCCATGAGACGGGCTGTTGCCAAGTGGTTCAGCATAATCTCACAGCTTTCGTCATTTTTTTCCCACATGTCAGTTCCTTCAAAAGTGACCTCCTGGCGCTCCATTAAGGTCACAAGAGGCATCAATAGTGGGACTGATATTTTGTTGGGGGGAACACACGTAGACTCTGAAAAACAGGGTAAAGTTTTCTATGTTATATTCTTTTCTCCAAGTTAAGCAAAGACAGTTCCAATTCAAGATGGTGACGTAGGAGGAGCCTGTGCTTACCTCCCCCCAGTGGACACACCCAACTCTGCAGGTAAATATGGAAATTCCTCTGGAAAAAAACTAAAAACTGAGCAACTCCTACATATCAGGTGAACAAAACGTGGTCCACATCGAAGCAGGTAGGAGAGGTCAGGACCCAGTCTTGTCATAAACCCCAACCCTGGCACAGCAACCCACAATTGGGAGAGAACTCAAAACTTGCAGCCTCCTTGTGTTTAAGACCTGCACCAAAGAGACAAGCCCCCAAAACATCTAGCTTTGAAAATCAACCCTGCATACATCCACAAGACCCACAAGTCTGAGACAATCTGAGAAAGAGCTCTTAAAGGGCTTGTGTGCTCAGACTCACCTGCCCCACGGCTCACCATGGAGTTAGCCAATTAAGAGGGGCTCATTTGCTAATCTTGAAGAGTTGGTCTGAGGAGCAGGCATTAATTTAGCACACAGCCAGGGATCCGCTGGCTGGCAGGCACCATCTTCACGTTCTTCCCCTGCCTTGTTCTAGCCGGCAGGTGCCATCACTTTTTCTTGCTTCCTGTGGGCACCATCTATATGCTCTCCCTCTGCCAAATTCCAGAGTGCCAGTATCTCCAGAGGGGAGATTTTACATACATCTGGTGTCTCCATTTTTGTGGCTGTTCCTCATGATACATCCCTGACCACTTGGCTCTGAAGGCCAGAGGGACTTGTGATTCCGTGTCTCACAACTGTAACAACTGGAGACACAGGCACCCCTAAGGCACAGCACAGACAGCCGACTAAGACACATCCCCAGTCTTTCTGGGAAAGAAGCCTATTTGCTTGTCCTGGAGCTTTGGCCCGAGGGGTGGGCTTCATGTTTGGCACACAATTGGGGCCTACAGAGATGCTCCCAGATAATGTAGGGTTGTGGACACCATCTTTGCACTCTCCTTCTGCCTTGCTATAGCTTCCTGATACCTCTCAGAAGGGAGCCAGCTAATACATTTCTCTGAAGCCCTTTTTTTGCAACTGTCACCCAGGAGACACCTCCAGATTACCTGGCTCTGGTGGACAGTGGGGCTTATGCTTGCATTCCCACAGGATTATATATATTTGCATAATTTAAAAAACTGATGCCTGAGGGTCTGGCTTCCTGCTGACCGAATCTAGGTGCTGAGACCCTCCACTTTGGGACACTGACAGGTCTTGACATATCCGCAACTACTGGGAGCCATGAAATATAGAGAAAAGACTGCTTGGACAAACACAAAGGTTAGACAACCAAGAACTAGGTCCGGGTTGAATGATAAGGTTCATCTCCTACATGAGGCCACTTCTTCAAGCCTGAGAGAGGTGGCTGTTTTATCTAACGCACAGAAACCAACACAAAGAGTCAAGCAAAATGAAGAAACAGGAATATGTTCCAAATGAAAGAACAAAACACAGAAGAAACCTTAATGAAATGGCAATAAGTAATTTACCTGATAAAGAGTTCAAAATAGTGGTCATAAAGATGCTCACTGAATTTGGGTCAAGAATAAACACAGTGAGGACGTCAAGAGGTAGAAAATATAAGTACCAAACAGAAGTCACAGAGCTGAAGAAAACTGAAAATTACGTGAGAGGGTTTCAACAGAATAGATGGAGCAGAAGAAAGGAGTAGTGAACTCAAAGACAAGACAATGGAACTCCTACAATCAGAGCCACAAACAGAAAAAAAAAGAAAAACGTGAATATAGTCTTCTTGATGACATTCCATAACTCCCTTAAACTAACATTTGCATTATAGGAGTCCTAAAAAAAAAAGAGAAAGGGGCAGAAAACTTACTTGATGAAATAATGGCTGAAAACTTCCCTAACTTGGAGAAGGAAATAGACATCCAGATCTAGGAAAGCCCAGAGAGTTACAAATAAGACCCACCCAATTAAATTGTCAAAAGTTAATGAAAAGGAAAAAATCTAAAAAGCAGTAAGAGAAAAACGTGTAATGTACAAGGGAACTACCATAAGAGTCTATCAGATTTTTCAGCAGAAACTTTAGAAGCCAGAAGGGACTCACACAATATATTCAAAGTGCTAAAAGAAAAAAAAAAACTTCCAACCCAAGTATAATCTATCTGGCAAACCTATCATTCAGAATTGAAAGGGAAAGAAAGAGATTTCTAGACAAAAGATAAAGGGGTTCATCACTACTAAACTGGCTGTACAAGAAATGTTAAAGGGACTTCTGTAAGCTGAAAAGAAAGGGTGCTAATTATTAACAAAACATATAGAAGTACAAATCTCACTGATAAAAGTAAATAGTAAAGATGGATTAATCACTAATAAAGCTAGTATGAAGGTTAAAAGACGGAAGTGGTAAAAAGATGTATAATGTGACATCAAAAACAAAACGTGTGGGAGGTAAAAATGTAGAGATTTAGAATGCATTCAAACTTAAGTTGGTATCAACTTCAATAGTAGACTGTTATAAATTGTTAAATGTAAGCCTCAAGGTAACCAGGAAGCATAAACCTACAGTAGACACACAAAAGATAAGGAGAAAGGAATCCATGCATATCACTAAAGAAAATCATCAAGTCACTAATGAGGTGAACAAGAAAGGGGCAGAGAGGAATGATAAAACAGAAAATAATGAAAGCAAGTAATGAATGAAAACAATGAAAAATGGCAAAAAGTATACCAATCAATAATTAAATGTAAATGGACTAAATTTTCAAGACATACAGTGATTGAATGGATTAAAAAAAAAAAAAAAAGACCCATCCTTATGCTTCCTACAAAAGACTCACTTCAGATATAAGTACACATACAGACTGAAAGTTCAAGAGATGGAAAAAGATAATTGTGCAAGTGGAAACCAAAACAAAGCTTGAGGAGCTATACTTATACCAAATAGGCATTAAAATGAAGACTGTAATAAGAAACAAAAAAGAGCATTACATAATGGTAAATAGATCAATCTGATAAGAGGATATAACATTTGTAAATATTTATGTACCCAACATAGAAGCACCTAAATGTATAAAGCAAATATTAACAGACCTAAAGGAAGAAACAGACAACACCACAATAGTAGAAGACTTTAATACCCCACTTACTGGACAGATATCCAGATAGAAAATCAGTAAGGAAATAACTACCTTAACAACACATTAGATCTGATGGACTTAACAGATATATACAGAGTATTCCATCCAAAAGCAACAGAATACGTATTCTTAAGTGCACATGGAACATTCTCCAGGGTAGATCATATGGCAAGTCACAATACAAGTCTTAAGAAGACTGTAATCCTATCAAGCATCTTTTCTGACCAAAGTGGTATGAAACCAGAAATTAATTACATGAAGAAAAGTATAAAATTACAAATATGTAGACGTTGAACAACATGCTATTAAACATCCAGTGGGTCAAAAGGGAACTAAAAGAATACCATGAAAATCGAGAAACAACATACCAAAATCTATGGGATGCAGCAAAAACAGTTCTAAGAGAATTCATACTCATCAATCCCTATCTCAAGAAACAAACAAACAAAAAAATCTCAAACATATTTTACACCTCAAGAAACTATAAAAAGAACAAACAAAGCTGAAAGTTAATAGAAGGAAGGAAACAAAGAACAGAATGAAATAGAAACTACAATGACAATAGAAAGTATCAATGAACCTAACAGCTGGTTCTTTGAAAAGAAAATTGACAAACCTTTAGCTAAAGACTCACCAAGGAGATGACACAAAATCAGAAATGAAAGAGAAGTTCCAACTGAAACTACAGATAAACAAAGGATCATAAGAGACTACAATGAACAATTATACACCAACAAATTGGACAACCTAGAAGAAATTAATATGTCCCTAACAATATACAACCTACTAAGGTTGAATCACGAAGAAATAGAAAATCTAAACAAATTTATTACCAGTAAGGGATTGAATTAATAATCAAAAATCTCCCTACAAACAAAAATCCAGGACCAGATGGCTTCACTGGTAATTCTACCAAACATAAATGAATACCAATCCTTCTCAAACTCTTCTGAAAAATAGAAGAGGAAGGAATACTTCCAAACTCATTTTATGAGGCCAGCATTATTACCTTGATACCAAAACCAGACAGGGGCTCTACAGGAAAAGGAAATTACAGGCAATATCCCTGATGAACAAGGATGCAAAAATCCTCAACAAAATACTGACAAGCTGAATTCAACAATACATTAAAAAAGATCATATACTATGATCAAGTAGGATTTATTCCAGGGATGCAAGCATGGATCAACATATACACACCGATCAATATGACACACCACATTAATAAAATGAAGGATAAAAATCAGATGATCAACTCAATAGATGCAGAAAAAGCATTTGACAAAATTCAACATCCATTTATGATTAAAAACACTCTCAACAAAGTAGGTATAGAAGAAACATACCTCTACATAATAAAGATCATATATGACAAACCTACAGCTAAATCATACTCAATGGTGAAAAGCTGAAACCTTTTTTTTCCTAAGATCAGAAACAAGACAAGGATACCTACTCTCAGCACTTTTATTCAACATAGTATTAGATGTCCTAGACTGAGCAACTGGGCAAGAAAAAAAATAAAAGCCATTCCAACTGGAAAGGAAGAAGTAAAACTGTCACTATTTGCAGATGACATATTATATACGTAAACCATTAAAAACTCCATCAAAAACTGTTAGAACTAATACAGGAATTCAGTAAAGTTGCACGATACAAAATTAATATACAAAAGTCTGTTGCGTGTCCATACACCAGCAATGAACTATCAGGAAGAGAAATGAAGAAAACAATCCCACGTACAGTTAAATGAAAAAGAATATGTGGGAATAAATTTAACTAAGGAGCTGAAAGACCTGTATACTGAAAACTATATGACACTGATGGAAGAACTGAAGAAAACACAAAAAAATGGAAAGATACTCTGTGTTCACGGTGTCCATACTATCTAAAGCAATCTAAGATTCAGTGCAATCCTTACAAAATTCCACTGGCATTTTTCACAGAAATACAGCAAACAATCCTAAATATGGGGGACCCACTGAAGACCCCAAATAGCCAAAGAAGTTTTAAGAAAGAACAAAGATGGAGGCATCATACTTCCTGGTTTCAAACTATATTCCAAAGCTATAGTAATCAAAACAATATTTTATTAGTATAAAAACAGACACCTACATCAACGGAACAGAATAGAGAGCCCAGAAATAAACCCATGCATTTATGGCCACTTAATTTGTGACAAAGGAGCCAAGAATGTTCATGGGAAAGGACAGTTTCTTCAATAAATGGTATTGAGAAAACTGAAGAGCCCCATGTAACAATGAAAATCAGACACTGTCTTACACCATACACAAATATCAACTCAAAATGGATTAAAGACTTGAATGTAAGACCTGAAACCATAGAACTCCTGGAAGATAACATAGGCAGAAGCTTCCTGACATTAGTTTGGCAATGATTTTTTTTCTGATAGCAAAAGCAAAAATAAACAAGTGGGACTATATCAAACTAAAAAGTTTCTCCACAACAAAGAAAATCATCAACAAAATGAAAAGGCAAACTACTGAATGGGAGAAGATATTTGGAAATCATATTTGATAAGGGGTTAATATTCAAAATATATAAAGAATTTATAGAAGTCAACAGCAAAGCAGAAAGAAAAAAAAACACCAATGAAAAAGGCAGAGGATCTAAATAGACATTTTTCCAAAGGAGATACAGATAGTCAACAGGTATATGGAAAGGTGATCATCAGGGAAATGCAAATCAAAACCACAATGAGATGTCACCTCACACTTGTTAGAATGGGTATATAAAAAAGACAAATAACAAATATTGGAAAGGATGTGGAGAAAAGAGAACCCTTGTGCACTGTTGGCAGGCATGTAAATTAGTACAGCCACTATAGAAAACAGTATGGAGAGTCCTCAAAAAATTAAAAATGGAACTACCATATTATCCAGCAGTTCCACTTCTGGGTATTTATCTGAAGAAAACAAAAACATATTGAAAAAAATATCTGCACCCCATGTTCACTACATTATTTACAATAGCCAAGATATGGAAACAACCAAAGTGTCCACTGATGCGATGAATGGATAACGTGGGTATACTTATATACATATTTATAAACACACACACACACACACACACACACACTGGAGTATTATTCAACCATAAAAATAAGAAATGAGGGATGCCTGGGTGGCTCAGTCAGTTGAGCGTCCAACTCTTGGTTTTGTCTCAGGTCATGATTTCACGGTTTGTGGGTTTGAGCCCTGTGTCGGAATCTGTGCTGACAGTGAGAATCCTGCTTGGGATTCTCTCTCTCCCTGTCTCTTTGCCCTTCCCCTGCTCATGCACTCTCTCTCTTTCTCTTTCTGTCTTAAACTTAAAA